GCGCTTTGGGTGCCAAAACAGGGCTTCGCTTCCTCATCGGGCGTTCCTTGTGGCAGCAGCTTGACTGTAGTCAGAGAAGTACTGTAGGCCGTCGCCGTCGCCTCCCGCCGGCGCCGTCGGCGCCCCCGCTTGTCCTGGGGCCCGTGGAGGGCTCCGGCAGCCCGAGATCTGCGAAGAGTCTCAGGACATGCTTCCCTCAGGACCCGCTTCCCCCCTGGCGAGAGCACAGTCAACCCGCACAGGTAAGGACGCACAACGTTCCCAAGGGTAGCCTCGCATGCTTGCCTCCTCGGCCCGTCCTTGGCCACTGTCGTTGGCCGCGCCCCGCTCGGAAAGTATCGACATGGGCGTCCAAGGCCCCTGCATCCTCACCGTGCGTCCTTCTGACACGGGCCGACTGTAGGCCGCCGCCGTCGCCTCTCGCTGGCGCCGCCGGCGCCCCCACCTCGCCCCTGGAGTCAAAACGACCTTGAGCGTACGAACTGTCTCTCAGATGGTATCCGAGAGAGAGAGAGAGAGAGCGGCTTCCGCGGCGAGGCCGAAGAGGACTGCCTCGATGCACTCCTCTGGACCCCTCGTCGCGTCGCGCGTGTCGAGGGCTCCGAGAGGCGCCCCGCCGCCCGGCGCCCCGCCGCCCGGCGGCCCGCTGCCTGGCGCGCTCGGGGCGCCGAGGCGAGGCCCCGCGCGCCGCGCTTGGGTCGCCGCAGGGGCGCGCCCCTGCGCCGGCGGCCCTCGGCGGCCCCTCGGCGCCCGACGTTCAACAAAGAACTGGAGCGGCGGGTGTTCGGCCGTTTTCGGCCCCCGGGGGCCCTCGCTGGGCCTCGAGGCCGTCAAGAAACCACTCAGGACGAAGGGCCGGTCCCAGGGAAGTGGTCCAGGCCTCCAGGGCCCGCGCCTCGAAGGTTAAGTGGAGAAGCTGGATGTCCGGGTGTGAACATCATGGTTGGGGCCATGAAGGCTCCCAGGTTCCATGGCCCCCCTCGTCTTCCATCTTCGACTAGGCGTGAGGGTGACCTTTCGCCGGAGTGACCTTTGGTGCGGGCCCAACGGCGTCCTCCGATCGCTGAGCGCGAAGCGGCAGCAGCGGCTTGCGCGCCCAGGTTTGGCCGCCCCGCATCCCCCGTTGAGCCGCGCACCAAACGTCCTTCTTGCCTAGGGCCACTCGTGCGTGTAGCCGACTCTCCGCGGCCAGCAGGGGCAACGCCAGGGGGGAATTAGCATTAAGTCGGGCCTGTCCCTCTACAGGGGCAACATTTCCAAAACAGTCTAAAAATAGTCAGGGGACGATTTTTCGACTAGTTATGTTTCATTGTTGAGCATTCTTGGACTGAGTGTTTATCTTTCGTCCGAAATCCGCCCGTAGAAGGACATCCCCGACCTAAGATTAGCAAGGGCGCTCCTCGAGGGCGCGAAGTTGGTCGCGCTTCGCCCTTCGCGGCTCGGCTCCGATTCCTCTTCCTCCTCCTCCTCCTCCGCCGCCTCCTCCTCCTCCTCCTTCTCCTCCTCCCTCCTCCTCCTCCTCCTCCTCCTCCTCCTCCTCCTCCTCTCCTCCTCCTCCTCCTCCTCCTCCTCCTCCTCCTCCTCCTCCTCCTCCTCCTCCTCCTCCTCCTCCTCCTCTTCCTCCTCCTCCTCCCCCTCTTCTCCCCTGAGGGGCGGCGCCAGAGCGCGGAGCTAGGCGCCCTTCGCGCGCTTCGCGCAGCGCGGAGCTCGAAGTTTGGCGCCCTTGATTAGGCCCAGGCGGGGACGAACTGTCGAGGGGTGAGGTTTTCGGGCGTTCTCGTGGGTCCTCGGCGGTTTTCCAATCTCTGGGCGCTCTCCAGCAGCTGCGCCTCGCCGAGGGCATTCGTGGGGGGGCCTGGCTCGTCCTGAACGGCTGCCGGCGACCCGAGCTATGGCCCGAAAGCCATTGGGGACGGGGATGGCCTTATAATGGGCTTGTTTTCCACCACCACCACCATAAGTTGGAGGGGGAGGGGGCTCCTCCTCCTCCTCCTCCTCCTCCTCCTCCTCCTCCTCCTCCTCACCTCCTCCTCCTCCTCCTCCTCCTCCTCCTCCTCCTCCTCCTCCTCCTCCTCCTCCTCCTCCTCTACCTCCTTCCCCCCTCCAACTTCTGGTGGTGGTAGTGGAAAACAGGCCTATCAGCTTAGGGGGGGGGGAATGCGTCGGTCCCCAATCGCCCATTCATCGCCGAGAAAAACCCGATGGGCCGCCCCGACCCAGGACCGTGCGGAGTCGCTGTCGGGGGCCTGCAGTCCAAGACGCCGAAGGAAGGAACAGCTTGGGTTCGCTGGGCGCTCGATGATCCCTAGTTCCTTCCACGGCTGTTCCGCTGGCCCTCCTCGTGCACACAGGCCCTTTGGGGGCCAAGAGCGGGCTTCGTTGCTGGTTTAGCGTTCCTTAGTTCAGCAGCCCGGCTGCATCGTCGACCTATCGGCGATGTATCGCCGATTCACGCTCGATGTCTTCCAACCGAGCTGGTCCCCCCCCCCTGGCGTTGCCACTCAGGGGCAGCGGCGAGGAGATGGGCGGCGTCGGCGTCGACCTGGTCGGCGTCAGCCTCGGCGGCGTCTCGAAAACGTCGAGGCGGCGGATCTTGCTCCCCGTTGGCGGCCTCTCGGGGCCCTCACCGCGCCTCGGGGCCGTTGGAACACCGGTTCGGGGGTGACGAGCCGGTCCCGGGGAAGCGGTGGAGATCAAGCAGTGGTGAAGCGCCCAGGCTCGCCTACAGGCCCACCAAAGTTTGTTCTAAGAACCTTCTGTGGTCTGCACAACATATTATCAGAACATTTCTGGCTGAGATGGTCTAGTTTTAAATCATTGGCCTCTCGTTCTAAGAACCTTGTCTTGTTTTTCGCACATTTTTGGGCTCTAAGAACATCTCGTGGTAGGCCTATGGGAATTCCGGGACGGTCGGTCCCTGCTCAAGGAGAGGTCGGGCGCCCGCGCCTCGAGACAGTCGAGACGCCGGAGGTCTGGGGTCGGCGTCGGCGTGGTCGGCGTCGGCGGCGGCGTCGTCGGCGGCGTCGGTCGTCGTTGGCGCCTTCGGCGTCGGCGTCGTCGCCGGCCTCGTCGTCCTCGCCGTCCTGGCCGGCGTCCGCGTCTCTGTCGTGCGTGGTCGGCTCCGCCCATTGCTGGCCGCCGCCGCCGCCGCCGCCGTCGTCGTCGTCGTCGTCGGCGTCGTCGTCGTCGCCGTCGTCGTCGTCGTTGTCGTCGTCATCGGCGTCGGCGTCAGCGTCGTCGTCGGCGTCGGCGTCAGCGTCGTCGTCGTCGTCGGCGTCGGCGTCGGCGTCGTCGTCGTCGTCACGGGACCCCCACATCTGGGCTCTTCGAGCCTCTGTGCTTGCTTGCTTGCCCGCCTGTCTGCTGAGCCCCAGCTCCTGGTTCCCCTTCTTACTCCCCCCCCGCTCTCTCCTGGTCCTCCTCCTCGTCCTCCTCCCTCCCTCCTCCCTCCGTCCTCTCATCCTCCTTCACCCCTCTTCCTGGTAGATAGCTCCTCCCTGCCGCACCCCAAGGCGTGTCGGTAGGATGGCCCGTGCGCTTCGACTAAGACGTCCTTAAAATTATGATCCTGAAGCTTGAACTTTGCAGCACTTGCCACGGTAGAGGGGGGGTGTTCTCAAAGTGGGGCTCTCGCCTTACGTAAGGATCAGCGACTTTCCACGGTTGCCCTTGCAGTCTTCCCCTTCGGCCCATCTTTGGCCGCATTCGCTGGCAGCAAGGGCATCCTTATCGTGCGTCCTCATTATACGGCTTGACTGTAGCGCCGCACACATTCGTGTCGAAAGTTCGCAACAGGTTCAAGATCGGAGCACTGGTCGTTTTGAACATTGGGCTCTCGCCTGAGTGCCGCGCGCATTCGTTCTAAATGTTTAATAGGTATTGGGATGCGGAACGGTTCCTTTTCAAATTTTGATTTCTTCGCATGATGAACCTTTGAACAGAGGTAACAACTTCACAGATGGAGGGCGGCTCCTTTTGCAAATAGGGCCCCTGTCCATGACTAGATGTGGATGCTGGAGCAACAGATAGCTAAACAGATGAGGGGCGGCCAGTTCTAAAAGCGAGGTATTCGTTGGACACCTCTTTGAACTGTTTGATGATGGTTTCTCGCATTGCTTGCCGCTCTTCAAACGGATGCAATGCAGTTCCTTTTCAAAACGGTTCCTGGCAGTGAAGGAGAATGCTTTGAGGGACATATGAGGAAGGGACTTGGGACGGGAAGGTGCGCTGCAGAATCGCTGGTGCAGCTTGGGTTTCCTCTGGTCCGCCTTCTCCCCCTGGAGGAGCAAGGCTTGACAGCGTGGGGCCTTGTGTGGGCCTCTGGAGACCTCCTCCTGCTCCACCGTCTCCTCCCCTCCCCTTTCTTCCCCTCGCAGGCGCCGGCCATGACGACGACGCAGACGACGGCGACAACGGCGGCGGCGGGACTCCTCGAGGAGGAAGAGGAGGGAGGAGGAGGAGGAGGAGGAGGAGGAGGAGGCTTCCGCCGCCGTCCCCCCCCCCTCCTCCCCCGTCCCCACCACTGCCTCCCCACCCTCCCCCCCGCGCTCCATCACCCCGCTTCCCCATTGTCCCCCGCCCTCCCTCGCGCTTCATCGTCCCGCCCCCCAGTGTGCCCCGCGCTTCATCACCCCGCCCCCCTCCCCCGTCCCCGCCCCTCCCTCCGCACCCTGCCCTGGCCCCCGCGCGCCTGCCCGCCCCCCACCGTGCCCCGCCCGCGGCCTCGGCCGCCCTCCGCTCGCCCTCCGCGCCGCCCCCTCGGCCTCGGCCGCCCGCGCCGCCGCCGCCGTCGCGGTCCTGGCTGCCGCCATCCTCGCCGTCGTCGCCGTCGCCGCCGTCGCCGCCGTCGCCGTCGCCGCCGCCGCCGTCGCCGCCGCCGCCGCCGCCGGCGCCGCCGCCGTCGTTGCGGTCGTTGTCGCCGTCGCCGTCGCCGTCGTCGACGCCGTCGGCCGCGCCTCCCCCCTCTGAGCCCGCTGCTCGCCGCGTCGGCCGCCCGCCCTCGGCGCGCGCGCGGCCTGCGCGGCCCTGCGCGCGCACCGATGCAGCTCGGGCAGCGCGTGTGGCGCGCCACGCCGCGCGCCCTCGCGGAGCTGGGCCTGTGCCGCGCCCTGGAGCGGCGGCCGTGGCGCCTGGAGCGCGAGGACTGGCCGCGTAGGGCGCCGACGCCGGCGGCGCCGACGACGGCGTCGAGTCCGGACGCCGCCGACGACGAGGGGGAGGACGGCGGCGACGACGGCGGCGACGGCGGCGACGACGACGACACCGCCGGCGACGACGACGGGACGCCGCCGACGACGATGGCGACGACGGCGGGGAAGGCGGCGACGGCGGCGACGGCGGCGACGACGACGCCGCCGACGACGACGGGGACGGCGGCGGCGACGGCGACGACGGCGGCGACGACGGCGACTACGGCGACGACGGCGGCGACGGCGGCGGCAACCAGAAACATGACGACGGCGGCGGCACTGCGGGTGGCCTGGAGCGCAATGATGTCGGTTCTCTCTTCGTCGTTTTGGATGTTCTCGGGTGTGTCTGGAGATTGTTCGTCACCGCGGCTGTGCGCGTGTCGAAAGAGTGCCCAGGACTTGTCGGAGACTTCCAGGAGCCCCCCTGACAACTCGACCAGACGAGAACGAGTACGGAGGAGAATCGGCTTTGTAGCGTCTCCTCGGTGCTTCGATGATTCTCAGGAGGTGGATGAGGAGGAGGAGGAGGAGGAGGAGGAGGAGGAGGAGGAGGAGGAGGAGGAGGAGGAAAAGGAGGAGGAGAAGGAGGCGTTTGCTTTTCGGACGTTCTCGATGTTTTTCGGGTGTGCTTGGGGGCATAATGGGGCGAGGGCCCTCTCCTGCTCCCTGGGGAGGGTGCAGGAAGGCGAGGGACGGCGGGGGGAAAGGGAAGGGGTGGCGCCGGGGGGGGGGGGAGGCAGGGGGAGTGATGGAGGGGGTGCGAGGGGATGGGAAGGAGAGGAAATGGAAGAATGGGGGAGTGCAAGCTGGGCGCGCTCGCGCCCGAGCAGACATCCTGCCACTCCCGCCCAGCTTCTCGTTGCGCTGCTTCTTGTCCATGTTCGCTGACAAGTGTTATAGCCGACTTGGCCCCCCCCACACTGAGTCCTGCGCAATCACGGGAGGGGAGCTGCGTACATTGGGAGGAGGCGGAGGTAGCGGATGAGCAGGAGGTAGCGGATGAGCAGGAGGTAGCGGAGGAGGAGGAGGGAGGAGGAGGAGGAGGAGCAGCAGCAGCAGCAGCAGGAGGAGCGGGGGAAGCGGGAGGAGGCAGGATGCCCAGGGGAAAGCCCGGGAGAGGACAGGAGCGGGGCGACAACGATGCGTAATGACCGGATCCAAAAAGGTGGCCCGCGCTGGGGCGAGAGCGCAATTCTGAACGATGGGAGCTAAAGCGCCGATCTTTAAAAGAAACCAGCTCTGCAGCGGGAGCATCATGTTCGAGGCACCGGAGACGTTTCGATTGACACCGTGCCGATGGAGCCCGATGTTTTAGCATGTGATTTTTCGGAGGATGAGGAGGAGGAGGAGGAGGAGGGAGGGAGGAGGAGGGAGGGAGGAGGAGGAGGAGGAGGAGGAGGAGGAGGAGAGTCCTGCGAGCGGGGTTACTGGCTGGGCAGGTTTGGGAGGGGGGGGAGGGGGGGTTCAAGCAGCAAAGGCAGCAGCGAGATCACGCGTAGCTCAAGCCGCATCCGTTTACCCCGCTGGCCAGCGCCGCGAATAAAGGAAATATTCGAGGGGGGGGAGGAGGAGAAAGAGGAGGAGGATGCGGAGGAAGGAGGGGAGGAGAAGGAGGAGGGGAAGGAGGGGAGGAGGAGGAGGAGGAGGAGGAGGAGGAGGAGGAGGAGTAGGAGGAGGAGGAGGAGGAGGAGGGGGAGGAGGAACAGGAAGATCGAGGAGGCCAGGCGAATCGAGGCGAGATCCGATGCACGTTCCGATCCCGCCCGACCTGGCAATTCGTCGTCGTCATTGTCGTCGCCGCCGCCGTCGTCGCCGTCGTCGTCGCCGCCGTCGTCGTCGTCGCCGTCGTCGTCGTCGTCGCCGCCGTCGCCGTCGGCGGCGCCGCCGCCGCCGCCGCCGTCGTCGTCGTCGTCGTCGTCGTCGTCGTCGTCGTCGTCGTCGTCGTCGTCGGGGCGCCCTGCGAGGCCTGCGACGCGCTGCAGGCGAGGCTGGCGCTGGGCGCCGACGCCCTCCTCGTGGCCCTGGCGCGCTGGCTGGCGCAGACCGCGCCCGCGCCGGTGGCCGTGGGCCGCGCCAGCGGCAGCGCGCCGCCGTCGACGGCGTCGTCGTCGCCGCCGTCGGCGTCGCCGCTGCCGCCGTGTGGCGTCGGCGTCGCCGCCTTGCCGCCGCCGCCGTGGAGGCCGCCGCCTTCGTCGTCGTCGTCGTCGCCGTCGTCGTCGTCGTCGTCGTCGTCGTCGTCGTCGTCGTCGCCGCCGTCGGCGTCGTCGCAGCTGCCAGGAAGCCGTCGTCGTCGGCGTCGTAGGCGCCGTCGTCGTCGAGGCAGCGGCTGCGTGTACCTGGGTCCCGCGCTGGACCTGCAGGCCCTGCGGCTCACCCCGGTGCAGGTGCGCGCGGGGTGTTCAACCCAGCGCTCGTGGACAGCTTTGTTTTTGTTGCTCTGATGTTCGGGCCTCTAGGAGGCTTCTCGTCGCCACGGCCTGACGGCCTTCGAGGCCGACTGTTGGTCCCCGCACCTTCTCCAGCCCACACTTCGGGTGGTTTGCTTTTGCTCGCGCGTCGCACTTCTTCACGTTGGGATTCTGTCTTCGTATTTGTTTCGCACTGGCTTCCTGTCGTCGCGTGCTTTTGGCGGCGCGCACAGGGCGGTGGGGGGAGGGGAGACGTCTTAGAAGGAGGCTGCTTCTCAGAAGGCGTCGGCCCTGCATCTGTAGATGCAAGGCCGGCGCCTTCTGAGAAGCAGCCTCCTAGAAAGCCGTTGCCCCTCTTCCCCATACCCCCGGGCGCGCGCCGCCAGTTGTGGCGTCCAGAACCCGGATAGCGGCGCAATCGAAAGCGCGAATGTAAGACGTTTGCATGGACGTTTGAAATGATGCCGAGAAGCTTGCAAGCTCGAGAAAGGAGCTTCGCAGGAGCTTCGAAGGAGCTGAAGGAAGGCCTCACGGAAGCGTAATGAGAACGAGTCGGAAAACGTTTGCCGGAACACGCTGCGATCTCAAGCAAGGCGCCGCGACGTTGCTTGACCAGCCCCGGAAAGAGCTCCCGGGCCACCTTGCGTTGCTGGCTTTTAGTCTGGAACCTTATCGGGGGCGGCCAAGAGGGGGGGGAGGACTAGGGGGGGGGGACATCATGGCGGGGGCCATGATATCTCCCCAGATTTCATGGCCCTTCTTCTCATTTCAATACGTTCCCTGGCCCCCCTGGTCCGCGCACACGCCTCGGCCCATGATCTGCACCCCCCCCACACTTGGACACCCCCCTCTTGGACGCCGCCGACCTTCCTAGCCCTCAGAAAGCTGTCCGGGAAGTGCTCGGCACACCGCGCGCCTTCGCCCCTGCTGCGGGCCTCCGGGCCCCCACAGATCGGCCCGGCCGGCCGAGAGCCGCAGCAGGGTGGGGCCTGGCGCTCCGCCTTCGGCTCCCCTCGGCCACGCGCACAAAGGGGGGGGGGCAGGGTTAGGTCGGGCACGTCCCTGCACAGGAGAAATATTTTGGAATAATTTGAAAAATCGTCTGGGGACGATTTTTTGACTATTGTCATCCATTTTGGAACATGTTCCCAACTATTTCTAATTTGTCGTCCAAAATTCCCGCAGGAGGACACGCCCGACCTAAGGGTAGGGGGAGTGGGGAAGGCTTCTTAGAAGCACCCCTGCTTCTGAGAAGGCGCGAGCCTTCCACGCGGGCCGTTGGAAGTGGGAATTTCTGGAGCCCCAGATCCCAATCTACGTTCGACGCCTTCCTACTTCAAGTGCCGAGCGGTTTTCCCTTTTCTCTTCTCTTGAGGGGGCGGGCGGAGAAAGCACAATCTACGTCAACGCCTTCCTACTTCATGCTTCTACCCTTTTCTTCCGACTGACTGGTATCTACAAGCTAAAGATGTTAGGCCGGCGCTTTCTGAGAAGCAGCCTCCTAAGAAGGCTCCCCCCTCCTCCTCCTCCTCCTCCTCCTCCTCCTCCTCCTCCTCCTCCTCCTCCTCCTCCTCCTCCTCGTTAGGCGTCGACGTCGGCGTCGGCGTCGGCGTCGGCGTTGACGTCGTCGTCGGCGTCGTCGTCGGCGTCGGTGTCGTCGTCATCGTCGTCGTCGTCGGCGTGGTCGTCGGCGTCGGCGTCTGCGTCGGCGCAATCGGCATCGGCACAATCATCGTCGTGCCCAGGTGCTGGTCGCGAACCTCTTCGCCAACGGCGAGCCCGGGCTGGAAGCCCTGTCCGCGGCCCAGCCTCCCTGCGTGGCGTCCGCGGAGCTGCTGCGGGAGGTGTGCACAATCGAGCACGCGAGGCGGACCAGCCACAGCTCCTCCTCCCCCCCTCCTCCTCTCCTCCTCCTCCTCCTCCTCCTCCTCCTCCTCCTCCTCCTCCTCCTCCTCCTCCTCCTCCTCCTCCTCGTCCTCCCTCTCCCGCTCCTTCACCTCCTCCTCGTCCTCCTCATCTTCCTCCTCCCGTCCTGGACCTCCCGCCTCCCCTCCCTCAGTGGGTTGCGCACGTGCTCCTTGATTCCTTATCCTTATAGATAACTTGTCCCTGTCGCAACCCGAGACCAGTTTTTAGGGCGGGCCAGGTGTTTCGCCTGAGATTTATTTATTATTTATGACCCTGAAGCTTCAACATTGGAAGTTGTTTCACACATTGATGGCGGAACGTGATCCAAATGTGGCTCTTGCCTTAGTTCCGCATATGCTCTTTTTTTAATTTGCAGGAGCTTCACGGATTGAGGGCGACCCGTTTTCAAAATGTGATTCTCGCCATAGCGCCGCGTACATTCTTTTTAAGAATTTGCAAGAGCTTCACGGATTGAGGGCAGGTCGTTTTCAGAATGTGGCTCTCGCTTCAACGCCGCGCATATTCGTTTCTTGTTTTAAACACGTGCAAGAGTTTCATGTATTCCCATGATCAGCGTACCAGGAATGGTGCATTGGAAGGGTTCAGGATTTTGAGGTGCATCAGTTACGTTGAACCGCGATATCGAAGTCCCAGGAATTGCATTCTGCCACGATTCAGTATCGTCAAGACGCAACGGCCAGGTTGATCCGTGGCGTTGGACTCCAGAGAACAATGTTTTGGCATGCTTTAGGGTCATCAAACGGTGTCTTTCAACGAGGCAGCTCCCTCAGTGGAAATGAACCGTTGTAGGGGTCTATGAAGAGGGAGCCTGGAGGGAAGGTTGATTCCAACGTCGTTGATGACTCTTGGCTTTGCACTGGTCCTTCTCCTCCTCCCCCTCCTCCCTCCTTGTCCTCCTGCTTCTCTTCTCCTCCTCCTCCTCCCTCCCTGAACCTCCTCCTCCTCTTGCTCCTCCTCCTCCTTGTCCTCCTCCTCCTTCTCCCTCCCTCCCTCCCTTCCTCCTCCTCCTGCTCCTCCTCCTCCTTTTCCTCGTCCTCATTCTCCTCCTCCTCCTTGTCCTCCTCCTCCTCCTGGACACCTCCTCCTCCTCCCCCTCATCTTCCTCCTCCTCCTCCTCTTCGTCCATTCCTTTTCCTTCTATGCATACTTCTCTCCTTGTCGCATACCGAGGCCAGCCGGAAGGGCTGGGCGCTTCGCCTGAGACTTCCTCACCATTCACGACATTGTTGGAGCTTAATTAACTTCTGACAACGCATTCACGGATTGAGGGCGGGTGGTTTTCAACATGTGGCTCTCGCTTTGGCGCCGCGCACATTCGTTTTAAAATGCATGAGTTTCACGCATTGAGGGCGGGTCGTTTTGCAACCTGTGTTTATCGCCTTAGCGTCGCGCGCATTCGTTTAAATTATGTTCAAGAGCTTCACGGGTTGAAGGCGGGTGGTTTTCGAAATGTCTTTCTCGCGCGCCACGCAGGTCGTTTTCAAAATGTGGTTCTCGCCTCAGCGCCACGCGTATTCATGCTAAATGGCTGCAAGATTTGCACGGGTTACCATGGCTACCGTATAAGACATGGTGTTTTGGAGCGGATCACGATTGTCAGGGCGCAACAGCTACGTTGATTCGCAGTGTTGAAGTCCCAGGAATGGTGCTCTGGCACGATTCAGGATCGTCAATACGCAGCTGTGTGGCGTTGAAATTCCGAGAATGGTGTTGTGGCGCGCTTCAGAATCATGAAACGGTTGACTTCCCAACGGCACATTTCCATCAGTGGAAAAGAACCCTTGTAGGGGACTATGAAGAGGGAGCTTGGGGGGAGAGCTTACTCCATCATCGTCAATGAGTCTCGGGTTTTCACTGGTCCTCCTCCTCATCTTCCCCCTCCTCCTCCTCCTCTCCGACCTTCTCCCCTCTCCTTTCTCTTCTGTGGGAGCTGTGGTTCTTGCCCTTCTCGGGGATCCACCGGTTTTGCCACCACTCCTCTCGACACCTCTCTCGAGGCGGACCAGCCACAGCTGGAGACAGTTTTTTACCACCTGGCAGTAACGGGCGTGACCGGGGGGGGGGTTGGGGCCAGTCACGTCAAGATTGCGTTGGCGCCGTCTGGGAATGCCCAAGAGTGGCTACATCATTCCCAGACGGTGTTGGCGCGAATCGTGGCGTGACCAGGAGGGGGAGAGGGGGTCAGGGCGCTCACGGGCTGCATCGCGAATACTGAGAGAACCGAGTTCCTGTGGGAGTTGTGGCCCTTGCGCCCCCCTGTGGAGCCCATCGTGCGTGACGCCGCTCGCGAGCGGTTGTCGCTGCGATGGGCCACGGGTGCCCCTGGGCGGGGTAAGTTTCATGCGCCCTTCCAGCGGTGGCCGGTCGGCGAGGTGGCTAGACCCCCGGCCAGCGGCCGAGGCCACGACGCTGGAGGAGATGATGGGCAATACGTCCGGTCGGCGGCGCGCCCAGGGGGGGGGCCAGAGACTCAGAGGAGGAACGCGCGCATGCCGACATGCCGCTGCCCTCCCCTCGTCACCACGGCTGGATTCGCCTTGAAGTCCTGGACATGACGCGGCCCCTGGGGAGGTCGTGGAAGCAGCGGCGCAGTCAAGGCGCTGAAACAAGGACCGCTTCGGGTCCAGGAGGGGCTCGCTGATTCCGTGGCTGTTCTTTTCGCCCTCCTCCGGCACCTGGGCGCGTCTCTGGCCCAACGAGGCTTCGTTCCTTATTTGGCGTTCCTTTCTGGTAGTTCCTCGGCTGCACCAGTGCCCTTTGGCTTCCCGGTTCTCACGAGGCTCTCTCGAAGGCCCGCGGCCTTCTCGGAGGCCTTCTCCTCGGCCTCCCACGAGGCAGAGGCCTGCCCCCGCCCGCCTCCCTCCCCGTGGCGCGCCGCCGACCTGGAGGAGCAGGCAGCGGCACGAGCGCAGACTTTCTTCGGAGGGCCGCGCGGAGTTCCTGTGGGCTGGCGCTGGGACCCCCCGCGCCGGCCCCGGACATCCGCGCGGGCCTCCCCAGACGCAGGCGATGCCCCGATTGTTCCCATGCGCGGCCCAGCAAGTCCCGTCCCCTTCCCCGGGGCCGGCTCCCACTTCCGGATCGTTTTTCGACGCTCCGCCACGGGGGAAAAACGGGTCCTCATAAGGGAGATGGGTCCCGAGGTTAACCGCCGTGTTCGGGCACCCGGGGCCTCCATGGGGGCCCCGGGACTGCCAGCAAACGCATCAGGATGAAGAAGTGTTCCTGGGGGAAGGCCCCGCAGGGTCAATGGACCCGTTCCTCTCAGGACTTCTCTCCTTTCCTTACCAGCCTGGAACATATCCCTATCTCTATGCTGGGCACCTCCTCATCACGATGTCAATCTTAGGGATTCCCTTATTTTTTGAGGGCGAATCCCTAAGATTGTCATCGCCTTTTGGCGTGTCAATCTTAGGGATAGGGATACGTTCGAGGCTGGTAGTTTCCCCCATGTCAAAACGGTCCTGGGGCCCGGCGAAGGCCCTCTGAGGCCGAGAACGAAGACGGCCCAAGTCCTCCGTGTTTTTTCTCACACCGCGAGCAGGCGTCCATGGTCCGAAAGTTTCCGCTTTTGCGCCGCCCTCTGCTCTTCCGAGCGTCGCTGTACGACCTCATCGGCCACGGACACGGCTGAACCGGCGGCGGGGAGCCGGCCGGGGACTGCCTGCGGCACGCCGGCTACGGCCTGGGGGGCCTTGGTGACGCGGCGACCGACCAGGCCGTGGCGATCGCTGCCGCGGACATCGGCGGCGCAGAGTCGGCGGTTCATGAGAGTTTTTTTTTCTCCTCTGGTGGGTAACGCTTGTTACCCGGGCCCCCCCCCCAACCCCGGGTAACGCTAACGATCCTGGGTTTTTTCGCGGTTGGGGGGCGGACCCCCCTCCTCTCAGCGGGTATGGACATGGCGCGGACGCACCCTGGCGGGCGCCCGCCGCGGCCGCCGTTACCAGTACCCGCCGCCCCCCCCCCGGCAACAGCCGTTACCCAAAATAATTTTTTAAAAACGGTCTCCATACGGTTAGCAGGAACGCTGGGACAGTGTGTCGCGCCGCCCGTTCTGGCCCACCACGCTGCGGCGCGACGCGCTGGTCATGCGCTTCCGGGTCCCCAGGCGTCCACGTCTCGAGCCTCTCCGAGCCCCCCTGCCGCGGAGCGGAGCGGCGCGCCGACGCTCCGCTCGCAGAGCCTGGCAAGTCGCTGGGGCCGCCGCGGCGACGCGGCATCCAAAAGTTCCCGACCGTAGGGTCGACCCGAACAGTAAGGATGGGCAATTTTCCAAGGTTGCCCTTGCACCCTTCCCCTTCGATCCGCCCTCGGCCGCTTGCGCTGGCCGCGCCCCGCTCGAAAGGGGTCGGCACGGCCTTCCAAGGCGCTTGCATCCTTATCGCGCGTCGGGCTGACTGTAAATCGGCGGCGAGCGAGGGGGGAAATGAGAACGAGAAGGCCTTCTCAGAAGGCGGCGGGATTTCTCAGGCGCCCTCGGGCCTTTGGAGAAGTTTTGCGTGTCGCAGGGGAAGTCAGAGAACTTCTCAGAAGGCCGGGGGACTTCCGAGCCTTTTGAGAAGGCCCGCCCCTTCTCACTTCCCCCTAGGGCTCGCCGCCGAGAGGAGGTGGAGGAGGTGGAAAAGGAGGAGGAGGCAGAGGAGGATGAGGAGGAGGAGGAGGAGGCGAAGGAGGAGGAGGACGAGGAGGAGGCGGAGGAGGAGGAGGAGCAGGAGGAAGGAGGAGGAGGAGGAGGAGGAGCACGAGGAGCACGAGGAAGGAAGAGGCGGAGGAGGAGGAGGAGAAGGAGGAGGAGGAGGATAAACAGGGCGGAGGAGGAGGAGGACGAGGAGGAGGACGATGACTTCTCCCCCTGGCTCGCCGCCGAGTAGAGTCCCCCGCCCTGGCCAAGACGAGGGGAGCAAATCGTGGCTTTCCTTGTGCGGTGCTCGAGGGGGGGCGCTGCGGCCGCGAGATTTTCTCTTGTCGGCGCTCGCCCGCCGAGTCGGGTCAGCTGGGCCTTGCATCCTTTCTATAACATTCCGCGGAAGTCTAGAGCATAGGGGTTTAGATTCTCAGGGTTTCGGGGGCGTATGGATCTGGATTATGATGGATATCACTTGGGTGCTGATGGTGGTGCTGAGTATGGGTCGGTGAGGGTGATGATGATGATGCTGCTGCTGATGATGATGATGTTGATGATGATGATGATGATGATGATGATGATGATGATGATGATGATGATGATGAATGCTGCCCCGCTATCCTCTGAGTGTTGCCACATGTAGATCTGTCGCAAGTATCTGAACTCCTGGGGGGGATCCAGCGGAGCGTCAGCCCTACGCCGATCCAAACGATGGCTCGCTACCCTTGGGAGCTGCCAAATGTAGAACTGTCGCCACTGTCTGAGCTCCTGGGGAATTCAGCGGGGTGTGAGCCCCACGCGAATCCAAACGATGGCCCGCTACCCTTAGGACCTGCCACATGTAGAAACTGCCGCCACTATCTGAGATCCTGGGGAATCCAGCGGAGCGTGAGCCCTACACAAATCCAAACGTTGGCCTGCTACCCCCATGGGTGCTGCTGTCATTGAACCTTTTTGGGGGGCGTGGGTGGGGGGAGGGTCCGCGTGGAAAAACGGTGCGAAGAAATATAATCAAATCCAGCTCTGCCCAGACTCGCGCACACGCGCCCACACGTAATCCGAAGCAGCCGCGCCCACACGCGCGCACGCATTCACGCACGCACCAAAGTGCACAAGCACGCGCACACATCGTGCACACGTCCAGTCAAGGTGCAATCAACCCCGCGCACAGACACGCGCGCGCAAAGCCAACATGCGGGGCGTGGCGAGGGAGAGTGATATGAAAACGGTGATGAGAGGGATGCCCGCACGCACGCACGCACGCATCCAGGCATCCAGGAATCCGTGCATACAGGCAGCAATGCATCAATGCGAACATGCATCCATCCTTACATGCATCCATCACATCCATCACATTCATCACGCCCATCACATCCATGCACCCATGCATCCCCTCCATGCGCCCCTGAATTCTTCACGCTTCGCGTATCCCCGCCAGCCGCCCCATTGCCTCATTCCGCCCTCTGGACTTTTCCTTGCGGGCCGCAAATCAAAAAAGTATCCCCGCCAGCTGCTCCTCGCTCGCTTGCGCTTCCGTTCGCCCACCGCTCCCGCCGCCTTCGGCTGGCTTGGCCTCTGCGGCCGTACAGGTGCAGGCTGTTTCTTCGCGAGTTGGCGCCGTCAGGGCGACTCCTCGCTGGCTAACGCCGGCCGTGGCCTTAATTGGTCCTTGCATGTGCACCCCGCGCGTTCTCGCGCTAATTATCTTGCGCTGTGCCCCAGCCTCGGTACTCACGCCCTCTGGACTTTTCCTTGCGGGCCGCTAATCAAAAAAATATCCCCGCCAGCAGTCTCAGTCCCCTCAGCCACCCACCTGAGGCCTCGGCCGCGCTTAGCCGTCGCCTCGCGCGTTGCTCTGTTCTATTTGTCCCGTGTTTCCTCTGCCGAATTAGTCTCTGTGTAGCCCGCTTTGACCTGACTCGCCGCCGGCGCGCTCGCCCGCGGCCGCTGACTAAAAAGTATCCCCACCAGCCCATCCCAAAACAGCAACTTTTGCGAAGCAGACCTGCAGTCGTGATTTTCGGGCGTACCTACTCCTGCCCTCGCATATTGTAGTGGCCTCCGGCCAGTGCCGCCGATCCGGGGCGCTCTTAATCCTCCTGCTCCTCCTCTTCTTGCTTCTCCTCCTCCTCCCGCATCCTCTTCCTTCTCCTCCTCCTTCTCGTGCGCTTTCCGCTCCTCCTTTCCCGCCTCGGTGTCCTTCTACTCCTCCCTCATCTCCTCTTCTTCCTCCTGCTCTACGTTTTGTTCCCCAAAATTCGTTTTTTGTGTGTAAAAAACGTGTTTCCTCTCCTGATCCTTTTTTTTTCTCCTCCGAGAGCGTCTCGTCGTTCCTCGAGGACTGGCCCACCCTGTCCTGGCCCCGTCTAGGGGCTAATAGAGAGCCCTTAGGGGGCTTCAAGATAGCCTCAAGAGGGCTCTAAGAGAAGGAGGCCCAGGTCTCATCGAACCGCTGTTCTCGATGAGACCTGGCGCGCTCCTCCTGGAGCCCTCTTGGGGTCCTCTTGTCCCACTCCTGGTGCCCCTCGAGAGCCCTCTCACACTGTCTGGGTCGGCTCTTCTGGCTCCAAGAGGTTTCCAACCGGGCCTTACGAGGGTTCCAAGAGGGGTCCCAGAGAAACCAAAATGGGCTTCAGGAGAGTCCCAAGAGGGGCGCGCGAGGTCTCATCGGTCCCGGGACCCGGGACCGGCGCATGCAGGACCCTGGACCCGGACCGGCGCACCGGGTTTCGCGCCAGTCCCGCTTCCCGGGTCTCGCGCAGGTCCCGGGTCCCGGGTCCCGCGCCGGTCCCGGGTCCCGGGTCCTGGGTCCCGAGCCGGTCCCGGGTCCCGGGTCCCGCGCCGGTCCCGGGTCCCAGGTCCTGGGTTACGAGCCGGTCCCGAGCCCCGGGTCCCGGGTCCTGGGTCGCGCGCCGGTCCCGGGTCCCGGGTCCCGGGTTTTGCGCCGGTCCCGTGTCCCACGTCTCGCGCTGGTCCCGGGTCCTGGGTCTCACGTCCTGCGCTGGTCCCGGGTTTCGGGTCCCGCGCCGGTCCCGGGTCGCGGGTCCCGCGTCCGGCGCCGGTCCGGAGTCCGGCGCCGGTCCCGGGTCGCGGAGTCCCGGGTCCCGAGTCCCGCGCCGGTCCCGGGTTCCCGGTCCCGGGTCCCGCGCCGGTCCGGGTCCGGGTCTTGCGCCGGTCCCGGGTCCCGGGTTTCGCGCCGGTCCCGTCTCCCGGGTGTCGCGTTGGTCCCCGGTCGCGGATCTCGCGCCGGTTCCGGGTCCTAGGTCCCGGGTCCAGCGCCGGTCCCGGGTCCCGGGTCCCAGAGGTCTGGAAACGTTAGATTATGACGTTAAGATGTTATGCTATAACATGTAAATACCAAACGTTAGTTTAAAACCTTCATATGATGATAATGTTATTACACATATGACAGTTCTCAAAAGCGACGTGTACTCATTGCGCTTGTCATAAGAAGCTAACAAACAAACGGTGCACGAGAAAACGCAAGCTGATTAGAAGCAGGTCAAGAGGAATTGGCTGGTCAGTGCGATGGCCGAGGCATGTTGGAGTTTTGCTTGAGACATCCTCGCTATTTCTGCTTCCGCTGGAGACATCCTCTGCCGTTGCCTCCTCTCTCCGCCCTCCTCGTCCTCCTCTTCCTCCTCATCCAGATTCTCCACGTACATCCTGCTCCTCCTCCCACCCCTACTCCCTCCCTCCCCTCCCCGTCCCTCCTCCTCCTCCTCCTCCTCCTCCTCCTCCTCCTCCTACTCTTCCCCCTCCTCCTCCTCCTCCTCCTCCTCCTCCTTCCCCTCGTCCTCCTCATTTGTTTCCTCCCTCCTCCTCCTCCTCCTCGTCCTCCCCCTCCTCCTCCTCGTCCTTCTTCTCCTCCGATCCTCCTCTTCCTCGTACAGCTCCTGCTCCTCCTCCACATCCTCCTCGTTTCCCGCCACCTCTTGCGCATCCTCCCCCCCATCATCATTATTGTTTCTTCTCCTGCTGCTCCTTTCCTCCTGCTCCTCCTCCACCTCCTCCTCCTCCTCTTTTTTCCCTACCTAGGCTCTGCCTAGAAGGGTTCTTACTTTGTTGGCTAAAGGGGGCGGGAAGTGTAACCCACCCCGGGCGGTTCCCCCGGT